AAATGGTGGAAAAAACATCCAAAGGAAGAAATATCTTGGAGATCGACTATGCTGGGGGAACGATCTCAGGCATGAATAGAAAAGAAAAACCCCTTTAAACCTTATAGTTTTTATAAAATGGTGGCAGCAACAGTACACCATACTGTTCAAAAGTGTGCAGTCATAAAATGTATTTATTTTTTGAAAGAGATTAATATTTTTATTCAACAAGGACACATTATATTGATCAAAAGTGACAGTAAAGACATGTATAATGTTATAAAGATTTATTTAGCAGCACAGCTGATCATGTGACACTGAAGACTGGAGTAATGGCTGCTGAAAATTCAGCTTTAGCATCACAGGAATAATTTACACTTTGATACAATATTACTGTTCTATACTGTATTTTTCATCAAATGAATGCAGCCTTGGTGAGCATGAGACACCCCAAACTTTCAAGCGGTGGTGTAGCCTACTGTAATGACATCAATGATCAATGAATAGTATTTTGTTATTATTAATTTTTAAAAAATGAAACTAAAACCTAAGCTAGAGTGTGCAGTCCATAAAAATAAACCGCAGTTACAGGTGTAGGTGTATCAACATCTGATTTGAAAACAGCTCTTCAAGTCAGAACTTTAAAAACTGCTTTTACTAAAACTTCCTTTTACTAAAAATGTCTCAACTATCCATTCTAATGAACCAAACTAAGACACAAACTGACAATCCATGTTCAGGGATTTACACTTGAGAAAAAACATCTAAAACCCGCACCTCAAAATGCACAGAAAACCAGTACAAAAATCTGAGCACTAACATGACATGAATCACCATTAGAATACTGACAAGACTTTGCAATGCATTGCAACTTGGTTAGTCCTTAAATACTATTGTTAATGTGCAAAGAAGAAACGAGAATCAGGTGATGGTAATCAAAAGACTCATTAGTATTCTGGTGGTGAGATGACGTGTACTGCGATTAAACGTGACATGTCTATATGGGTCTATATGGTCTATATATATCTCACTCTGACAAAAGGATGATGCATGAGGGTAAAAAAAGAAGAATCTGATACATGAACCATGAACCCATCTGAGCCCTTTCCCCAAACTCTTTCTGAAAGTACACTGTGGTGAATTTTAAAAAGATCTGACTGTGTCAGGAATAGAGAAACAACCAACTCATGCTTGTTGGGCTACGTACCCTAAACAAATGGTGGAAAAAACATCCAAAGGAAGAAATATCTTGGAGATCGACTATGCTGGGTTTTTTTTTTTTTTGGTGCAAACAAGAAGGCGAGAACATCTTAAAACATAGTTTATAAACTATGAAACCACACATTTCTGTGCATTTGTGTGCCAACAGAGGGCTAGAACTAATTCCCAACATTCAACAAACAACCATCACAGATTTAAACAAGACCAACCTAGTAACCTAAAAGCAAACTTGGCAACTAAAGACATCCAGACATAAAGTTTCTGCGTTTGATTCTGTAGTCTCTCAGAGAAAAGGAAATTGAATTTAGAAATGACAGAGTAAGCAACAAACCCAGATGGGGCTTCAGTCAATTGTATTGCTTTTCTGTTTGCTACCTCCTATTTGTGCTGAGCTCATAGACATCAGAGAAAACTGGGCAAGCACATCTCTGTACCATCGGCAGTTGAATCGATGAACAGAGAGAGAATGAAAGAGAAGATTCTTTAATATGAAGCTCTGAAAAAGAGTTTCCAGGCTGCAGAAGATAAAAAAACAAACAAGTGCTTTAGATATTCAGCACACTTCAAGTAAGATTCACAGAATATTTTTAGATGGATGCAAAGCTAGAAGATGATCTATTTTAGCACATTTTTTTTCCATCAGGCTAAAAATTATTACAGTATTAAAATACTATGGTTCAAAGTTTCTAATGCTTACCAACGCTGCATTTAGTTGAACAAAAATACAGTAAAAATAGTAATCTTGTGAAATATTTTTACAATTTAATATAACTTTTTTTATTTTAATAAATTATAAAATATAATTTATTCCTGTGATGGCAAAGCTGAATTTTCAGCAGTCATTACTCCAGTCTTCAGAGTCACATGCTTTTTCAGAAATCATTCTAATATGCTGATTTGGTGCTCAAGAAACATAACTTCTTATTATTAGTATACATAGCAAACAATTGTGCATGTTAATATTTTTGTGGAAACTGTAATCATTTTTTTTTAGGATTCTTTGATGGAATGTCTCATAGAAATTTTAACAGCATTAATTTTTTTTATTTTTTTTGTTACTCTAAAAGTCTTGTTAATTTTGATAAATGTATTATAAAAAGTATTAATGTCTTTAAAAAAAAAATCATACTTTAGAAAGGTAGTGTACAGTATATTTACAAAATTAAAGATAAAATGTCCTTGCAACGCAACTCTTTATTTTAGGAGCACTACAGTTCAGTGAGTGTCAGTTGTCCAAATGTTTATCTGATTTGGACATTTCTGCAAAGATTTTTACTGTTAAAAAAAATGAGAAATGCTTAGTGGAAAGCTGTTTTTCTATTGTAATTCCAGTAAGTGTCATGGAGATGAGACCAAACTAACGGCCAAACCTGCAACGACATTGCCAAACATTAGTCTCAAAATAAAGCAACCATACATAAATTCAACTGGAAGACACCGTTTTCAGCTGTCATTTAATCATATCAGAGCTGCAGCTGAGATTTGAGCACATCAGATCATCAGTGTTTTTATTTAGTTTTTTTAAAACTCATCCCTTAGCATCAGCCAAAAGAAACAGCTCTTATTTCACACATTCGGAGAAATGTCTAGTAACTGGATTCCACTATGGCTGTGTCAGCCACTGCTGATGCATAAATCTGTTCAGTGTTGTCCTAATATTTAGACTGTGTGAATGTTTTGCTGAACTTGCCATAATGTGTGGATATTTTGTATGGTGGAGGTCATGATACGAGTGAGTATCTCTGGGTCTGATCATATTTAATCTTTGTCTCTAAAGTGTGCAACATGTGACCTTACCTTACTCTTTTTATTGCCGCAAGACAAACATGGTAAAACTCATGGCAAGAACATTGTTCACTGACATTTTCTTTCAAACGCACAAGAGCAGCCATGCAGTACCCTTAACGTTTTGGTAAGCTGATAAGTTTTAGGGTTTCTGAATGTTTCGTGTTTACTGAAAACCTGGACTTTTGTGAGCATGTAAAAACAAAGTGAATATTTGTATAACAATTTGTCGAGCACATGATTTCATCATATGTAATATTAATGTCTTGTAGCAATCTTTTACATATTCAAAACAACAGTTATTTATCATCAATTCTCCCTGGGTTTGTTTGGGTTGGTGATTTCTCATACTGCTCATGATTTAAGTGTTGCAGCTCTTCAGAATATTAATGTTTCCCTGAGGCTGGTCTTTATGGCTCTGCCGTTTTTTTTAGCAGACTACATCTGTAGTGATTTAAAAGTAAGATGCCCATCACAGCAATCCTAGTTCTGTACTGGCAAAACCTTCTTATCAGAAGAATGACAATATATCAAAACCAGCTTCTTTTCTCGAGTCTTTGAAAGAATGCAATGTCATGGTCAGAAACCATCTCACATGATTCTGAAACTCATTAAGCTACCTTTTTGAATTTGTTCAAATCTTATCTGATAATTGTATTTTCAACTGTAGCCTATACTTTTTGAACATGCAAAAAGCTTTCCATGTTCAAATATGTTAGCTGAAAATACATTTATCATTCTAGAAAAAATACAGTAAGACGGGAAACATTGTGACATCGGTATACAGGACTGAAAACACTATCATACATGAACACCATCCTGCTGAGGTGACAGTAGAACCTTACGTTTTTAAAATACACAGCCTTCAGATTTCATGACTGATTTAATTTGTCTTCGAACAAAATAGGAAGCCTCTTTAAGTAAAGTTACATATCTTACTCATTAATCGAAACCACCATCCTCGAGGGAACTTCTGAGTGAACTCACCAGTCTTCTGGGTTGGCTTACAAACTTCTGTCATAACTGAGCCTACTGTAGGATATCTTCATTTTGTTTAATTAGAGGGGTGCTTTAAAATAAGTTTCAGAATAATAAGGCTATAAAAAATATTTTTGAAAGTTCTTTATTTGATCTGGTTTTTGTTTATTGACTGATATTTAGCAATAGTCATGTCCTTTTTTATTTTATTTTAATTTTCCATGATTTAGGCCTAGTATATGTAAACATCCTGTTTAATGAAAATGTAAATGAAAAAATATATATTAACACTTTCCATTAAAAAGTTGCATATTTTAAAACAATATCACCAATCTTCAAATTATCAAACAGCGCTTGCCGTTTAATAATTTAGATAACCCTTCAAAGGTATACCTTTTAAAAATGTTTTTACATTTAAAACACTGGCTTGGCTGGCTTTTCCATTTGTTGACATAACATGGTTAGATTCAGATGGTAAATATTATAAATTAAGCTGGGTATAACCTTATAGAGATAACCACCATATTTATAATGAAACCATCATATGTCATATAAATATGATATTATAATGTCATATGGTTTTAATCAAATCATATAATAAAATGACATTGATTGTTACTACTGTAATGCTATATTAAACAAAAATAAATGATTTTATTGATCAAAATAATCAGAAAATAGAACAAACTTTGCCAAAGTGATTGTTTTGAACAAGTATTGAACTTATTTGTATAAATACTTTGTGTTTTACCCCGTGTTTGGAGTAAAAGGCCCACCTGGTCACCTCATATAAGATTTTTAAACAAAACAACCAATTTATGATTTATTTTCACATAAAATCTGTTGCTCCATCAATGTTCAATAAAACCTTTTTTTTCTGCAATCATACAAAAACTTGAAACCCTTTTTGTAACTGCCACCAAAATATAAATGGAGTCAAAAATCGCCAACTAATTATTAATCTTTGCCTCATGGATGCCACAAACTACACTAAAGTTAACAATCAGTCCCGTGCTCAATACCCATTTCGAATGGCACGTGCGTAAAATGTTAATCAGACTTTTCAAAGAAACTCACCTTCCCTTGGTGCTTCGGGATCCCATGCTGACCACATCTGTACGGAGAAAAACGGAGTCCAGCACACTATATAAGCCAGTACGATAACAAAGGTCATTTTAACGGTGGTGATTTTGGCCTTGGAAATGAGTTTGACACTGCTGACCCGCGCGAGCGCGCTGCCTTTCGATGTCTTGGGTGTGAGAGTGATACACTGGTCCTTCTTAGTCTTCCTTTTAAAGTTTTGCCATATTTTAAAACTTATCAGTCCGTAGCAGACGCTCAGAATGGCCACTGGTATGATGTATATTGTCAGACTAATCCACGTGATGTAGGCTTTCGCTCCCCACGGCAGCACAAAATCTCCCCAGCAATCATATACTCCTGAACCCACCTCCCGCAAGGAAAATATATAAACCTGTGGGATGCTGAAAAGTAAGCTTAGTGCCCAAGAACAAATCACGTAGCAGCGGTCCTTTCGCTTGTGTAAAGAACGAAGGGGCTGGCAGATGGCCATGCATCTGTCTATGGACATCAGCACCAGCATGTACGTGGAGGCGAACATCCCAACGGTCTGAAGATACTTCACCAACCTGCACAGGATGTCTGGTCCATAAAAGCGAAACGTGATGTCCCAGATGAGTTGAGGAAGTACCTGGAAGACAGCCACGACCAGATCTGCAATGCTGAGGTGCTTCATGAAGTAGTACATGCGAGATTGACTGTGCTTGGCCGTGTGGATTGCAACAAGGACGCAGAGGTTACCAGCGAGTGCCAAGAAGAGCACCAAGGCCAGTACAGTGACTTCCACTTTTGCCACCTCTTCGTTCCGCTTCAGCGGGTTCACCGTCTGGTTCACGCCGTAAGTTTCATTGTTGACGCTGGAGTTTCTAGACGAGTCATTGGACCATAAGTCTTGATCCTTGAAGATGTCCTCCATGGTGCCAAAAAGCGCACGCCTACTTCTCCACAATTGTCAGAGAACTGATTAGCTTTCCTCGGGCATAATCAGCCAGTTAATAACCCTTTAACTTAACAGGTGGCACAAGGATCTCCAGGAACAGGGAAAGTCCTTTGCTGCTTGATGGTGATCCCTCGGCTGTTTTTAACCTTTACTGTGAACTATATAAACATAAGAAGCATGGGGTTTTTTTTTTTTGGTAATCCATCACATTTAGCCCTATATTTCATTTACCATGTTTTTTATGAATTATAAATCAAATAGATGCATTAAAGATTCAAATATCCAGTCATTATAAAATATAACTAATTCAGTTTTTTTTTTAAATATTGCAAATATATATGATTTTACATTGTAAATATAATTTTTAATGTGCAAGTACTTACAGTTATTATCCATTTCATCAGGTTGTCCAGCTGCTGGCAGAGTAGGTGTAAAGTAGAGTCCTAGAGGTGGAGAAGCTGCTTTGCTCTCACTCAGCTCACACTGAATGGAGCGCGTCACGATATCAAGCACTTATACATCTTCTCAATGGTTCTCCCTGCCCTAACTTACCCACGACTTCCACTAGGGGTCCTTGTGCTCTATTGCAAAACAGTAAGTTCCTCTGAAATAGTCTGGATGACATCAAATGTTTTCAGTGTGCTTTCTTGCTGCCTTGTAATCTTTTCTTTTTTTTAAGGGACCATTTATTATAAACAAAGCTATTTTTAGTGCAATAAAATAAAACAATTTAAAATGGGAATATAGTGAAAAATATATTTTTTTTGTATAACAGAAAAAATACACAATATCCTTAAACTAAATGCAATTCTGCATGTAAATACTAATATTACTCAGCAGATATCTTTCTCAAGTACATTAGCACAACAATATTTGACGAATTCATACAAAATATCAGCCAACACTGTTATCGTTGAATCGTGTTTATCTTTGGGAGCATTTGAGAGGTTGCAGCTCATGTTTTGAATTTCCACCTCAAGATGACTTATTAGTATGCCCCAAAAGGCCTTATCACACTCCATCAATTGAATGCCCGAGTCCTGATCTGCGTCAGCGTTTCTCTGTGGACGCACGCGCTGCATACCAGGGTCAGGAGAAATTCTCAAAGTCAACACACTTCTAAAATAGTGCCAGCCGAGGAAGGACACGAACATTCAATTACAGAAATTATATAAATAATTGATGAGACACAATAACATGTTTTCATAATTTATAGCAGAAAGTAATGCATTGATGAAATTTGTTTTTACATTAAGCATTTTTTCTGAACAAACAAAGAACAGATATTTTTGAGTGTTTTATACATGCAGGTCACATTGTCCTTGAAATATGTTGTTAATCTGTTTGTGATAGTCACATTGGAGAGGATTAAAATATGTGAACTATGGACTATGATAATTCAAAGTAGAAAAGGGATTTTATTTTATACATTTTGGATTCGCCAAACCTTTTCAGTGAACAGAAAGGATTTTTTTCTTAGTGTGATGAACATTTTAATAAACTTTTCCATTATAAATAACCTTTTGTGCAATAAAACAGTTCTGTGCATATTTAAGGGTTAGTTCTGTCACAATTTACTCACCCTCAAGTCAGGTTGTTCCAAAACCTGTATGACTTTCTTTCTTCTGTTGAACATAAAAGAATATATTTTGTGGGTAACCAAACAGTTGCTGGTCTCCAAAGTATGAATATATACAGTGGTGTGAAAAAGTGTTGGCCCCCTTCCTGTTTTTTTTTTATTTTTTGCATATTTGTCACACTTAAAAGATTCAGATCATCAAACAAATTTTAGTATTACACAAAGATAATGCAAGTAAATACAAAATGCAGTTTTTAAATGATTATTTATTTTATTAAGGGAAAAAGCTGTCCAAACCTGCCTGGCTCTACAACAAAAAATATTTACGTCTATGATATTACATTGCACATTAAGAGATCTGATGTACATTCTAAATGGGTACATTGTTTATCTGATAATAAACTGAATACACAGTATGAAATTAAATCAGGTCAGTGAAGGGTAGTCTGATTTTGTATTTGCCTTCATACAGACAGATGTGTGCACACGGCGAAAGAGAGAGAGAAAGACAGAGGACAAAGACACAAAACAGGATAGAGAGAAAACATTACAGCTCACGCTATCTAAATGCAGCAGTGTACAGTGAAAATGCAGAACTGGCCTTGATATCAAAGCTAAAGATGAAGGCTACAGATGGGATTTCCATTTTTCATAATGGAAAAAAGTGCTTCAAATTGTCTTTGTGTTGATATGGCCACAGCCATATCACCCTGCAGCCCAAGACTGGTTGCCCACTGAAGCTAAGCAGGGTTGAGCCTGGTCAGTACCTGGATGGGAGACCTCCTGGGAAAACTAGGTTGCTGCTGGAAGAGGTGTTAGTGAGGTGCTATCAGCGGTGCTCACCCTGTGGTCTGCGTGGGTCCTAACACCCCAGTATAGTGACGGGGACACTATATGGTCAAAAAGAACCGTCTTTCGGACGAGACGTTAAACTGACATCCTGACTCTCTGTGGTCATTAAAAATCCCATGGCACTTCTCGTAAAGAGTAGGGGTGTTACCCCGGTGTCCTGGCCAAATTGCCGCCCTGGCCCTTGTCTATCATGGCCTCCTAATAATCCCTAACCACTTGATTGGCTCTATGACTCTCTCTCCTCTCCACCTGTAGCTGGTGTGTGGTGAGCGCACTGGCGCCGTTATCCTGTGGCTGCCGTCGCATCATCCAAGTGGATGCTGCACACTGGTGGTGGTTGAGGAGAGACCCCCCCACATTATTGTAAAAAGTGCTTTGGGTGTACAACAATACGCAATAAAGCGCTATATAAATGCATCATTCATTCATTCTATATTTAGAGTTAGTGGGATCAGAATCACAATAACAGTTTGTATAATTATATTATAATAATGCTTAAAAAACCTCACACGTTCCTACTGCCTATGTATGTGTGCGTTTTTTAAGCATTATTATAACATGCTTGGAAAAAGGAGATGAGCAATGTGGCTGTAGAATATTTCCACTTACACATACACATACGATTCCTTTCAAATCAGCAGTAAATGAAATGAACACAGGGTATAGTTCAAGCTCTGCTAAGTATTTCTAAACCGTGCTGCTACAGAGCTGTATATGGAGTGAGATAGCATCACTTTCCAGTACCCCACCTCTCTCAAGGGTTATTTTTCTTTTTGCTCTGACAGCGCTGAGATAAGATGAAAACACGAAGGTGGTTCATAAATATAAGATGTGAGGGCTTATTCTCAAATGAAATTGGATATGGTCGTATTTTGGGTTTTTAACAAGAAACAGCATAAAGTGAATGAAGGCAACTCATCCAGACTCTCTGAAAATGGGACTTTGAAATTACCAAACCAATTGAATTCTGATTTGCCTCACAGAACATTTTCCTGCAAGATGAGGCAGAAAGAAACAACTGTGCATTTTTTATGAGAAGTAAAATACCTCTGCATCACATTTCATTATAGAAACAAAATACAAGCAAAGAGAGCATGCATCATTTCCATACACATTCTGTTATTCATATAGGTCTGATATAAACGGGATGTTTCAACAACAATAAATTAAATTATGAAAAAAAAGAGAAACAGGAGATTAGGGATGGTATACGTCAAAGTCCAGAGTGTGTAATGAAGTGTAGGTTGGTCGTGTGGGAATTAATGAACAAACCTCATTCAAATAAGAGCAAATCCCAGCCTATGACACCTAATTTACTTGAAACAAATTTAATCTTCTTAGTGAACAAAATTAGCTTATTAGCCTGTAAGAGAAAAAGCAAGAGAGACTGAGAAAAAGACCTCAGATCTATATTGATACAGAGGAACCCTGGAGTCTACCTTAACCTTCATAACAAAACAATTCTTTGTTTCTTAGGAAGTAACTTTCCACTTAGCGTAACTTCTGAGGTCTTTGAGGGCTGTTTATATAGCTTTGTTTCTAATATAAATCAATTTAAAGCCAGGCAATGTCTGATTTTAGTGCAAAAGCAACAAGTGAGGGACATTTTACAGAAGATTTAGAATAACTGTCATCTGGACAGCTGGACTCTTTACATTAATTGAGGTTTTCAAAATTAAGGCATCTAATTATCTGAAAAGCTTTAAGCAGATTATTTCAGTCAAATTTGTGCAAATTTATTTAAGGAATACTCCACCCAAAATTAAAATTAGCTGAAAATTTACTCACCCTCAGGGAGTCCAAGATGTACATGAGTTTGTTTCTTCATCAGAACATTTACCATTACATCACTTGTTCACCAATGGATCCCCTGCAGTGAATGTGTGCCGTCAGAATGAGAGTCCAAACACGCTGATAAAAACATCACAATAATCCACAAGTATTCAACACAACTCCAGTTGATCAGTTAACATCTTATAAACTGAAAAGCTGCATGTTTGCAAGAAACAAATCTATCATTAAGGCTTTTTTATTTTAATCTGTCTCTTACAATACCAGTCCATAATCTACAATAATGCTTCCTCCAGTGAAATCCCCTGTTGTCCTCTCACATCAAAATCCACCAACATGTTTGTTTAGATCTGTTTAGGACTGTTTTTGCTTGTAAACTTGCTTGATCTGTGCATATTTCTCTCCTGGTTCAGATGAGACAACTTTTTTTTTTTTTTTTTACAGGAGAAAGCAATATGGCTAGAGAAATATTCCTTTAAACTGAACTGCAAATTGTGATCTTATAGTATAGAGTTCTGCATGTCTTTTGCTTATTTTCAAGCCCCTGATATATTGCATGAACTCACAAAGAGTGAAAAATTTAAGGGGGTCTGAATACTTTCCGTACCCACTGTATGTGACAAATAAGAAACATGTTGTTTGCCAACATGTACAACACGATTTACAAACCTTTGGGGGCATTGTGAGTGGATAAACATGATATATTTCTTAGCATCTTACTTTTTTTTTTTTGTCTTGGTCATTCGATGCTCTCATCCTCACTGAATATCCCTCCATTTTCTGGTCCTGATAGCTGCAGTATTATGGCCAGTCAGTATGCTCAGGGCTAGATAGCAGCAAATCTGTTAGAAGTGTCCTGAGGATCACACAGAAATA